AGGATCTCTATCCTTAATGTGCTGTACATTGAGATTTAATGCTATAACGAGTACTCAAACAATATATTTCACTTTGTGTTTCTATGGGGGTGCAAACTGTTGAAATCCTTACTTAATGCATACTAAACTGATCCTCTGTAAAAAAAAAAAAAAAAAAAGAAATTATCAATTCCCAACTTGACTCTCACTGGGATTAAACATGACAATAGGTCTGCTCTGATTTCATCATCATTTAAAAAAATCATCTATTATTTTTCACTTTATGTTTCTGTGTGGGAGCAAACTGTTGAAATCCATACTTAATGTATACTAAGCTGATCTTCTGTATATTAAGATAATCAAAAATGAATCTTGATGTGAATGGAAGGGGAGAGGGAGTGGGAAAGGGGAGGGTTGTGGGTGGGAGGGACGGTATGGGGGGGAAGCCATTGTAATCCATAAGTCGTACTTTGGAAATTTATATGCATTAAATAAAAGTTTAAAAAAAATAAAAAAAAATAAAAAAATAAAAAAAAGAAAGAAATTAATCCAAACACTATGAACTATTTTAACAATTCTAAATATATTAGCTATAGGAATACTAAGTGTATTGCTTCTTTATCAAGATGAAATAATATTTTTAAAGATACATTAGAAACATGGTTATACTAATGAGAAATTCTTCACAGCTGCGGGTAACTAGGGTAACTAGTTCCTAGTGGATAGGGTCTCACCTATTCAAGGAAGAGATGAAATAGTGGAGTTTGTTGTGTCGTGTTCTCAGAGGGTTGGTGATGTGTTCTGGCTTCTGTCTGAAAAATATAAAATATAAAATTAATAATTTAATCTTTGATCCATGTACATCAACCAGATCATGTAGTTCAGTACAAAATGAAACTCATGGTTTTCCTATCTTTATATTAGTTAACTATGAGACTAGAAGATCAATTTGATGATGGCTTTTGTGGTTTTCATTGATCATTTATAACCTGGTAGGCACTAACTCAGATGTTTACCTTGAACAGTGAAAATGCTATTGAATGCTTTTCTCACTTTTTAGCTTCACTCCAATGATGCTTCATTAATTATCATATCCAATGAAGAATATATTTTTGAATTGTTTTCACCTAATAAATAGTATATAATCATACTTTCTTCCTAAGAGAATACCTTTGTGATGTAAATTGTTAATTATATCCAATAAGCTTGGAAGGACTGGCTTCTAGCCCAGTTCACATTGATTCTCTTTAGCACAGGGTGGAGAGAATTCATTAACTAATTAATTTTTCTCTGTACAATGCAAAACTTATTGACATTCAGAATCTTAGACATCATTCTAGTTTAGTAATTCTACTTAAGAATTGTATCTTGAAGAATATAGACTACTTATTACTGATGTGGTACCTAGGAAGAAGCCAGAAATATGAGAAAGCACTAAGGCTTGTTTTTAACTCATAAACCATTCATGTGCAAGCATTCTCATCTATAGGGAAGATTACAAAGGTGCACAATGCACAAAGGATTCCATAGCTGAGCCCTATTATGAAGTCCAGCTCTCCTACATTAGGTGTTTACAAACATGCATCTCTATGTCTTTTTCCAGGGACTGTGTGATTTTATCCCTGGTAGAGTGGATACCACTGTATCCTTAAGGAAGATGCTGTTCTACAGATAAAGGACCCTGAGATTCAAATGTCATAGCTTACTAACTCTTGTTTAACATCCAGCAAAGTTTGAAAAACAATATGTAGATGACTAAATTCTTTTTTTTTTTTTTTTTTTTTCAGGCAGAGCGGATGGTAAGAGAGAGAGCCAGAGAGAAAGGTCTTCCTTTTGCCGTTGGTTCACCCTCCAATGGCCTCCACGGCCGGCACACCGCGCTGATCCCATGGCAGGAGCCAGGTACTTATCCTGGTCTCCCATGGGGTGCAGGGCCCAAGGCTTGGGCCATCCTCCACTGCACTCCCTGGCCACAGCAGAGAGCTGGCCTGGAAGAGGGGCAACCGGGACAGAATCCGGTGCCCCGACAGGGACTAGAACCTGGTGTGCTGGTGCTGCAAGGCGGAGGATTAGCCTAGTGAGCCACGGCACCAGCCAAAAATGAAATTCTAAAAGCTAATTTTATCTCCTAAAGAATTAGGAAATAATTGGCAACAGAATAATAAGATTATTAGAAATTTCAGGATACTCAGTACTTAGCAATAAAAACCATGCTCAATTTGTTCATAATCTTGACTTTTGTGGGTTTTTTGTTTGTTTGTTTGTTTAAAAGTGAAATTTGGATTTGGCACTGCGGTGTCAGTAGGTTAAGTGACTGGCATCCTATATGGGCACTGGTTCAAGTCCCAGCTACTCCACTTCTGATCCTGTTCCCTGCTAATGCATTGGGGAAAACAGCAGAAGATGGGTGAAGTGCTTGGGCCCCTGCCACACATGTGGAAGATCCAGATGTAGTTCCAGGCTCCTGGCATTGGCTGGTCCAGCCCTGGCCATTGCAACCATTTGAGGATTGAACCAGCAGATGGATAATCTGCCTGTCTGTCCCTCCCTTTCTCTTTTTAATCTCCTTTTCAAATAAATAAATAAATCCTTTAAAAAATAAGAATGACCACCTATTTTCATAGGCTTTTTTTTTATGAGAAAGAGATAAATACCATCTGGAAATTAATTTTTACATGCAATTTATGGTCCATTTCCTAAGGCATATAAATCTGAATAGTCATCTTAAATCCACAAAGTGGTAATATTTATTACATCTCAAAATGATTAAATCACTGAAACGGGTTTTTGTTGTTAGTATTATTTGACACAGTTTTAGTATTAAAAGTATTATACAGAGTGGCTGCAAGATCCTCCAAATAATGTTAGGAAACATTTATAGCATTTCCTGTGTGCCAGAACTTCATATATATTAATATATATTAACTCCTTTATTCCTATATCCCTCTATATAACTCTCTAACTACTATTATCCTCACTCTAAAGATGAGAAAACAGGCCAATATGACTTAAGTGTCCTTTCTAGAATCACACAGCTAGAAAGTAGCCAAACCTCTTGATTACATACCAGCTTTTTATAGAATTGAGAATTGGTTTTAGGTCTCCAACTTTAGCTAAAGACAATTTGAAGCATAAAGACTTATGGCTCCTCCGAGAAGTGCTATTTCACTATGGCAATTTTCTATTTACTAAAAATACTTGCTAAGCACATTTATTTTTCAGCATATCAGCTTCTTGAACAAATTGAAATTTACTCAGCTACAATTCTGCCTCTTATTTTATCCATTATTTCCATCAAGTTTGCTTCTGCCACTTTCCAGAAACTCTTAGAGGTGGGAATAATATTGTTGGGAATAATGACTGAAATCAGTTGACAAAATAATTGATTATTATGTTTAAGAGCTAGCCTATACAAGATAGAGAATAGCATGTATGATGTACATTGTGTTGGGTAAGTCATTAATAAGAGTCGTTGAAAACAAATAATTGTTCAGCTATATACTAAATCAGATTTTATCAACTGATGATGCAGATAAATAAATGTGCTTACACTGCACCAAGGCTGTATATAGCATTTGTCTGGCTTCTGGCAAATTCATATGCAAGCTATATGCAAATAGAGTACTGAAGTTAGAAGGATAAATTAATGAATATTTTTGTAACTCCATAGGCTAAATATTATCAAGGTATTGTATTCTCAACTGATATAAGAACCTACATTTCATTAAATAACAAAATTACTAAGATAAAGTCTTCCTGGATTGTTGAACCAAGATTTACTGTTTATTTGCCTTTGCAACACATTTTAGCATAAATAGCGTGTTGCCGGAATCCTAAATGGTGTTTCTGAAGAACAAACTTAACCTCAACAACTAGAAACTTCAGTCAGCTTTCAAATAAGCAATGATAGCATTGTTCTTTATCTCTGTTATCCAGCTGCTCTATCAAATTAAGAATAATTCATGTAATTCAATTCACTTGTATAGGACAACAAGATTTCCCTTATTGAGAACCAAATTTTTAAAATACTTGGTGATATAATCTATCATCCAGTCTTTAAAACTGCCAACATAAGATAATTTAGTCTCACATGCTACCGAACCATTTCTATTCCTCAATACGATTTACAATCAGTTCATTCTCTACTTGTTCCCAAGTAGAAGAAAGGCCTTGTGAACAGGGGTCACTGATAGCTGGGCAGATCAGGAAAGGATCTGTCTTTTTAGGGACTTTTGTTAAAGTAATTTTTAGGAGGACACTAAATTTCCTGCAAAGGAAATATAATTCACAACACACACTTGAAAGAATTAAAAAATTATTAATAAAAACTCTAGTTAAAAACATAGTCTTCTACAGGATCACAGTCAGTAAGAATTCTCCCCTTCCACCTCCAAACCTGCTTCTCCAGGCTATGGCTGACCTAGCAGGTTGGGTTAAGCTGATTTAGTAGCAATGATGTCCAAAAGCATCTCAACATAATTCAAGGCAGTAAAAATAGTATACAAGCAGGTGAAGGATAAAGGGGCAGGATTAGTCAGAAAGTCAGGCTAAAGTCCCAGAGGCTTTATATAACAAAGATTTATATCCTGCTCACAGAAATCCTAATGCAAGTACAATGACTCCAGGCATCTTTCCCTTGTGGTGACTGACATATCTGGGTACATTGTTCTTGCGGCTCAACTCCTGGTTTTAGGATTACAGAAGTAGGGGAAGATGATATTCGAATGGCTGAACATTGCCTCTTGAATGCTTTAATGAGAAAATGACACTTATTACTTCCTCTCAGCTCACTGAACTGAACTTGGCATTGCTTAAAAGCAAGAGATTGAGAGACATTGAGGGATAAATGCGTATTTCATGAACTATAAATACTTCCCTCATAGGGTGAATGAGGCATGATGACATTGGTCCAGCAGGCTACTTTAGACTTTTTCCTTATTGAAAGGGTTGCTCCATAATATCAGCCTTTACTTCTTTTGCTAAATTGTTACCACATGCTGAGTCTGACTCAATGTATAAATAACACAAATATCTCACTTCATAAATATGAATTTGCACTGAAATGTGGAGAACCTTGAGCAGCAACAGGGCACATGTGTCATTGTTTTGTTTATTTATATATTACACTGTTGTTTTCTGTTCCTACTCAGAACACATCTGAAGACATATAATACTTCTTTGCTTGACAGAAGCCATCTGTTTTTGTTTCTAAATTTTATACAATTATAGCTCTTTATTTTTAATTATTTACTCATTTTAAATTGACAGATAAATTCATATATATTATCATGTACAACATGATACTTTGAAACATATATATTGTGGGATGGCTAAATCAAGTTTATTAACATATGCAATCTCATATAATTTTGATTTTTTTCATGTGAACACTTAAATTATTTTTTTCAGGAATATAAGAAATTAACTGTAGTCACTATATTGTACAATCAGATTCTTAAACTTATTTCTCCTCCCTCAATGAAATTTTGTAACCTTTGACCAACCTCTCCTATTATCCTCCTTCTATCCAACCTCCCCAGCTTTATATACTCACCATTCTTCTCTCTATTTCTATGAGATCGATCTACTTTTTTAGATCCTACATGAGTGTGATCATGTGGTGCTTGACTTTCTTGCTTGGTTTACATTATTCAATATAATATCCTCCAGTTCATCTATACTGTCACAAATGACAGGAGTTTCCTTTTTCTAAGGTTGAATAGTATTCTATTATATTCTCTCCTTCTCTGTGTGTGTGAATATGTATATATATACATATGTGTGTACCTGTACCTATACATAAATATATACA